ACCTGTGCCATCTTGGCCATGTGGTGGATGATAGGCTATTGGGTTTAACTGGCACCATTTTGTCTTTATGGTGGAGGCAAGGAAGTCCCATCTCCCAGGTATAGGGTATGCTTGAATTCCTAGAGGCAGGGGTAGGGACTTGGATAAATGGTCACTGGACCTGCCAATTTGGGTCGTGAACTCTCAAGTTCCCTGTGACCCTACCCCTTGATCTGATTTAGGTCTGGACCAGCTCAGGGGCAATTATGCCATGCCACTGTCTCTATGTTTATGTCCTCTCTCCTGTCTCTGGGCTCTTCTCTGGTCACCATGGTGTCTCACTTCAGTTCACCATTGGAGCTGATCTGGTTTGTTGATATCGTTTTTTTTGCTTTTTCTCATGGATCATTTTTTGGACAGTGTTAAGTGTATTCATGGGGCTGCAGATCTTTGCAACAAAGAGTCTAGCTGCATTGGCTGTCCTTTTAATTAAGACTCCCAATTTAATCTTTCAAAATGTGGCTTCTCTATTTTCTCTTCATACAACACTTACACAGAGCCTGAAAATCTGTTCTACATTGAGAAGACACTTCTGATACATTTGGAAGATGATACACAGAAACTGTGCCTGTTCAAGTTAGCCCTTCTAGTTTAGTACAAAGCACTAGCCTTTTTTCTCTTGATTTAAAAAACTGACCAGTAAATAGAACTATTTTTTATTTTAAATAAAAGATCCCCAGGTGTTGGACAAGGTATTTCTTCTCATTCCCAGCTTCAAGAGAATATAGTTACCATAGTTAACTCTGCATTCTTTAGTATATAAATATAAATCATATGCTTTAGAACGTGTTCATTCTACAACTCTGTTACAACCTTGTGTAATTGTGCCTGTTCTCTCCCTCACCCTCAATCTCTCTCTCTCTGTTTCACTCTCTCTCATACACACCACACACACCACACACACACACACACACACACACACACACACACACACACACAATGTTTTTATTTTGCAGTCCAAAAGCACATTGAGATTATTGATTTGAATGATCAGATCATGCTATTATCAGCTCAGGTAAATAGCTTTCTTCATGGAGTAGTCTAAATCACCTTCTCCAAAGGAAGGACAAAGCTTCTTTTGTTATAGCTGATTGGTTTCTCTGTTCCTTGGTATTTTGCTTTGACTTTCAGTTCCTGCTGTAGGGTGATTTATATTCCCCAATGATTAGAAAGCCTCAGGGTTTAACTCTCGTATGTAGACATTAAAATGGACTATATATGTATGTATATATATATATATAACTATACATAATACAAATACATAATATATATTTCAAACATATATTCCACATATATACATGTTCACCTCACCCCTGAGCCATAGGTAAAGATGAATTCACTATAAATGCATGGATACCTAAAAGTCTTAATGTAAATTGAATCATCTGAGAAGAAACCAGTTACCAAAAATAAGTGATGCTGAAAGTCTTATTGCAAAGGATTCTTCCTAATAAGAAAACAAAACTGCATCTCTTTTTATTTGTTTTTGCTACTAATTAGATTTTTTTTCATTGTTTGCTTAAAAATCATACCTACAGCATTTAAGTAAATAATACTCATTGACATGCTTGGACAAGGAAGAGAATGTATTAGAATGCTCAAGTTTCAGTAATTTCAGTTTGGTTGATTGCCTAGTAGAGACATGAACCTACCTGTAGCTAGGATCCACTCAGTGCTCTAAGAAAGTTTATGCCTGGTTAGAAAATACACAGCCAGGAGAAACAGAGAAGATAATGTATTAATAATGCACTGCATGTATGTAAAGACTAATGGTAAAAAATACTAGATAGATTTTGGGTTGATGAGGCAGTCTAGTTTGGAACACACTTCTGCAAGATGCTTGATCTATAAAAGTTTGTGTAAACAACCTCAGACATAAAAAGAAATGTAAAAATTAGTATTGAATAGGCAGGATTGATGACACAAAAAGGATTCTAGCTAGTAATCAAGAAAATTAGAAAAATCAAGCTACATCAGTAAAAGGAAGATCAAACAATGGGCATTCCTAAATACATTTGAGGGGACAGTCAACAGGAGGACAATACATGAAAAATGATGAACCTATTGAGGGAAATTTAGAATATAGGAGTTTAAGAATAGATAGATTGACAGAGAGCAATTTCAACCAGAAAGAACAGGTATAAGGCAATGGTATTAATGTAAAAAAGAAAGGTAGACTTGATGTAGAGGGAGACATGGAGAGACCAGTAGCCATGAACAAAGGAAAGCAGCATTTCAGTAATCCATCATGCATGCACCTGATCTCTCACACCCCCTAACATTCAAGAGTGGCACCCACTCGCCCATCTGTGAAACTGGGTTGCTAGCCAAAAGAGCCAAGTCTGTCTGGTTTGTGCAGAGCCTAAAACAAAAACAGCCTGGCATATTAGTAAGAACACAGTAAATAATTATTGAATAGTTACTGTTTCAAAATATGGTATGTAGTCCATCTTTCTTTTGTTACACCTAGTATTTCTTTTTTCTTTTTCGCCAGTCCTGGGACTTGAACTCAGGGCCTGGGCACTGTTCCTGAACTTCCTTTTGCTCAAGGCCAGCACTCTACCATTTGAGCCACAGTGCCACTTCTGGCTTTTTCAGTTTATGTGGAACTAAGGAATTGAACCCAGGGCTTTATGCATGCTAGGCAAGCACTCTAGCACTAAGCCACATTTCCAGCCCTCTACTATTTTTTATATGTCACAGAAGAGCAAAACTTTGTAGGGAAAAACTCATATTTGGAACTAAGTAAAACTGGGTAAAACTAATATTTATATACATCTAACTTGGAGTAATAACTTAATTTTTTCTGATCCTCAGTTTTCCAATAATAATACAGATAATGCAGTGCTTCTGTGGGATTCAGAGATTCTGAATGTTTACCTAACATGCATCTATGCTCACGGTAGTTAAATTACTCAACCCATGATAGCTATTAACTAAGAGCAGATAGGCTGGGTATGGTGACACATGCCTGGCACCCCATCACTCATGAGGCAGAAAGAGGAGGATTTTAAGTTTGAGGTGAGTTCAGGCAAAGGTATTCAGAACTAATTTCAAAAACAAAATACAAATGAAACACTAAGGAAATGCATAAGTTACAGTTTCAAGCCCTAGTACTATAGAAAAGAAAAAGAAAAAACTGGTGAGGTATTAGTAGGTCTATGCTTTACAGAGTTTTGGTTAAGGAGTCAAAGATAATATAAGAGATTAGGGAAAGAGGTCTTAATGCAGCTGTTTTGATATTGCAAACAGTGATCATTTTATTATACAGAGTGGTATTAAGTCCAGACAGCAGTGGTCAGAAGATCTCAGATTACCCATCATTAGCACTAAGAAGCACCTACAATGTACAGTACAAAGAGAAAGGTGAAATTAATTGCTAGGTATACCGATGCTAAGTTCCTTTGAGAATAACAATCTATTCAGCCAGAGAGGAATAATGTAAAAGAATGCCTCTAGAGCCAAAATTCACATTGTGTTCTTAGAGATTGTTGACATTTTAGTGACTTCATCATAGTATCAAAATATCAAGCCACAAGGTGGAAATTTAGACAAAGTGGTAAGACACAATCCTGCTGTCTGAAAGAAAATATAAACTATGGCATTTTGTTTCCATTTCAACTAGATGCTCTGGTTATAGCCACAAAATAACCGTGAATAATCATGGATTACCACTCAAACCACGAACTTGACCAACCAGGTGTAATTTTGGTTATACACACTCATATGTAAACACACACAAATGCATACACACACAAGCATGCTTTTTTTTAAAAGTAAGCATTTTCTTTAGTCAAATCTAAATTTATCAGCCTACTTGAAACTGAATGATGATATCTGCAGAGTATTTATAGAATTCAAAAATCTATTCATGTGTTTGAAGAAATGCATTGATTTTTTCTGGAAAGCATAATGGTCTCATGCATACCATATAAAATCTAGATCTTATTTTTACAATAAAGGAAACAGAGTACATTGTCTTTGAAGCATTATAATAAAATCTATATTTTTAAAGTATATCCTTGGTACACAGGAAATGCTGCATAAGCAGGGCAATATTTCACTATGTATTGATCCATGGCCACTAAAAATAAGAGTGCATTATTTTACATTGAAATAGATAGTGCTGGGAAAATGTGGCTATGTACATACTTGAGTGACAAGGTTGAAAATTTGCATTCTTCTTCAGTCCTTAACCTCAGTTTACAACTACTGAGTGAAAAAAATATGTTTCAATATGTTCACACTGTAATATTCTATAATTTAGATATAGTGTCCAGTACTGTGAAATTGAGAGGTATCATTAACAAATGTTAAATTAACTTTCCAATGTTTAAAAAATAATGTAAATTAGATAGATCATAATTGCTATTGAAAAGAGCCATATATATATAGTCAAAATGATAATATTCCTAGAGGAGATTTAACTCAAATGGTTACCACTTGATTACAAACAAATTGATCAATAATACTTCTAAACAATTCAATAATGTGAAGTGAAATCATAAGGATCTTACAAAGATGTGTAAGTCAGAGATAAAATAGTCACAATGTGCCTGGAAATGGCTAGTCTCCCAAACACAACATCCCAATTAATCTCCATTCAGGATTTAAATGATGCCATTTCATCTCCTCTCAACTAGCAGTGTTTTTTGTTTTTGGGGTTTTTTTGTTTGTTTTTTTGTTTTTCATTCTCACATTTCCAGGCATTTTGTTTCTGCTGACATAAGCACATGTCCCAAAATAGAATGCTATAGCACTCCTCTGATAGATATTAAGCCCATTTGTGCATTCATTTTTTTAAGGATGCTTTTTATTTAAATAAATAAATAAAATCTCCTAGCTGTAAGAGGGCTGGGAACGTCGTTTTAGAATGAATGAGAACATGTTTTCTAAGTGACATTAGGTACTTGATCCATTGTTTCAAAAGCAAAGAAAGAAAAGTAGTCATAGCCTCCTACCTTGAAAACAAACATCTCACGGCGAAGAATAGCTAGAGTGTTAAAGTTCCCATCACAGATGTTGGGTTTGGCTCCTGGATAGGAAGGTCTGCCGGTGGGAGGCCTAGGAGGTTTGGGCCTGTCGTTTTTCCTTGGGTCAGCAGGAGGAATAGAGCGGTGTGGGGGCACTGTTGGTAGAGGTCTTGTAGGTGGAGGGATCTTGTCAGGAGGACCTTTTGCAAATAGGAGAAGAGTGCTTGAGTTACTTAAAACTTGGAATAGTGTTGGAAAATATGCTACAGAGAACGATCACTTGTCAGCAGAAGGCACAGACTACTAAGCGTGCTAAGAGGCCTTTACAATCATGTTTTCTGATAAAATAAGCCACTTTAACCTACCCAACCATGACCAACTCTATCTGAGATTGTCCTTACCATTCTGGATCCTGGATACAAGAAATTAGTGCTTGTTAGTTAATGTAAATGATTTTAATTTATAGGTTATCACAGTCTTTTTAGGAAAACTGTCTTTAAGTCTTTGGAACTAGGTGGTATAGGAATAATAAATGAAAATGAGTACTGAAGTCAGGCATGTAAGCCCTAACCAAGATCATCTTGGATTGTGATAATGGATTTTATGCACATAGTTCCTGAAGATGAACATGAACTCATTAAACATTATTCTGCCATATGTCTTTAACTACATTTTATAAACTTTCACTGATTTCACTGCTTTTTTTTTCTAATGAAAGGTTTTGGCAAATTGCTGGTTGACTGTTTTATTTAAATATGAAATCTATAATACCTATTGATTAAAATACCACTAGTAAAATATTAATGTCAAGTACTCCTAAAAAGAAGCTAAAGTTTAGGCATGTAACTTGATATGTATGTTCTGCATTATTTCTTAATGGATGTATATTTAAAAAACTGAAATATAGAGCTGTTAACTTAACACTGAGAATTTAGAAAGGGAAAAAGATTGTTTTCCAGATCGTTAGAGATCTAATTCATGAGGTCATGAGAAAGAGACTGCTTCTAGCTAACCATTCAAGAGTAATTTCTGTTGAAATACACTAAAGCAGGGGATAGTCCAATTCAATACCTGAGCTGTTTCAGTTTTGAATTGGAGACATAGCTTTTTTTCATCGTCCTGACAAAATGAAGAGCAGCACAAAAGTTGACCTATTTTGTTCCTAAATTATTTTAATTCGAAGAGAATACTAATGAGTGAGATATTAAAACTGAAAAACTAGTGAATGCAAAACAAATTAGTGAACTTAAACTACACTGTTTAAAAATGCAAATAACATCTTCTGGACACTTGAGATTAACATACAGATAGCACACAGTTGTCTTTGTATTGCAAAAATCAAAGCTTCACTTCATTAATTTACTTGCTATATGTAAATTATAAATGTCATGTTCTTAACAATTAGGTGTGAAATAAATGTCTTTATAAAGGTCAATGGTTGTATTGAGGGAGTTGGGATTATAGTAAATATTCATAATAGTCTCCCTGCTTATTTTAAATTTGCATCTCCTGACTGAATCCAATAAATACAAACGCTATTAGCGTACTGAAAATTTATTTTGTGCTATGTGTTCATATATTAAGCCATGTGTTATCTTTCATTCCATTGCTAGTGACTTTCAGTGAGTTAGTAATTATTATGCTTTTGAGCACAAGTGGACCTTTAAAAGTACCAAAAGTGAGAACTAATACCAAGCTGCAGAAACTATTATTCAATCTGTCAGTTAGCACCAGGCTCAGTACCTTATATAAAAGTCTTACATTTCTTACTGTTTTGATGGTACTCATTCCATTTTTTTTAACTGCAAAAGCAAAAATTCAGTAGAACTTAGCATTATTGAAACTTTCAACTAATCTCAATTTTAAAAAAACACATACACAAAAACAGTATTTAAGACTTTTCCTTATTACAATATAAGATATCTCAGGTAGCTGTCAACAAAATTAAATCAACAGAAAAAATACTGCAGCAGGCCAAACAATGTTTCTTTATCTTGTGTATGTAGAGTATCTCTCAAACAAGAAAATGGCAGAAAGTCTATATTTGACTGTTGGATTAGCTAGACAGAAACCTACCATATATCTTCTGGATGCCTTGCAAGTCATCATTAGGAAGTTTGAAGTTGTCTGTTTCCATATACTGATAAAATGGAGCCATGATAGCAGTAGGGTCATTGGAATGCTCCAGTCCCAGAGCATGTCCTAGTTCATGAACTGCTACAAGAAACAAGTCATTTCCTGAACAAATAAAAAAAAAACAAAACAAGAAGTTAAGGTTCATGTAAGTAATATCCAAGGGCAGAGAAAGAGAATAGTTTAGTACTACTAAATTATCACCCAATTAAAAATGAGAGATTTAATTATCCATAGGATTTTTATCATTGGCTTTCCTACTGGCACAATCCAGTAAAATTCTTTAAAATGTTGATATGGGGGGGCTGGGAACGTGGCTCAGTGTCTACGAAGAGTGCTTGCCTCACATGCATGAGGCCCTGTGTTTGATCCCTTAGCACCACATAAGCAGAAAAAGCTGGAAATGACACTGTGGCTCAAGTGGTAGAGCACTATCCTTGAGCTGAAGAGCTGAGGGACAGCGCCCAGGTCCAGAGTTCAGGTCCCACAACCAACAAAAAAAAAGTTGATGTGGGCAAAAGGGGGTGATGAAGACATTGTATAAGTTCATAAAGTGGAACAACGAAGAATAAACTTTGAAGAACGAGTACCAATGTTGGAAACTAATAATGCTAGCTTAAAATATCCTTCCAGTTTTAAAGTAAACCTCAAAAAGGTAAACATCATATACAATGTTTATATAAACATCTTACTTTATAACCTTTACATTTAACGTAATCCTAACAAATCAGTTAAAAATGAAAACCATATGGAAGACACAATTCCTACTTTTTTAAAAAAAATAGGTAAATGCATTAAGGCACAAAACATATTCTTGTCAAAGACAGCATATCCTCCATTAATAAAGTAGCAATTGGAACTCAGTTATTATGACTGTGCGAACTGTTTTACTTGTGGAGGATGTAGGAAGAAATAGTACTATAAAATAAAGGCTGTCAACTAGCAGTCTTAGGAACTGAAATTTTAGTGTCAGCTCAATAAAAACCAATTATAATCAATGCAAAGATAATCCTAACAAAATCTTCTATATACTTTCCACTCCTGAATCATCATAGTTGATTTTTAAGTGTAAATTTTAACACAACTGGAGATCAAGTGCAAAGGTTTTAATGAATGACTTGCTGTAAATGTAAATAATTTCAACGTACAGCCTTTGTAAGACACCCTCTTATTAGCCATTTCTATAAGGCACTGTGGTAATTCCTTTCAATGTACCAGTTTATGAACACAATAGCAGCTAAATAATCCCACAGTTCTCCCCTTGGGAGTTTGTCACCAAAGAATGGATGAGATGATGGGGCTAGTTTTCTATATAACAACACATAGGAAATCAGCCCGTGTAATAGTTTTAGAGACAACCTGACTCTGGAAGAAGTAATGTAGATTAGATATTGCTGTGAAATACTTTTTTAGATTTTAAAAAGAGATAAATATGACCATTTTCAACCTCAAAGAGCTTATCTTCTAATACAATTACTTACAAGTGAGAGCCATACAATGGACAAAGGTCTCATATCTAAAATATACTTGGAACTCAAAAAATTAAATCTCCCAACAACAAATCCTCAAAGAAACAACTGCCCAATAAATAAGTGAGTTAAAGACTTGAAGAGAAACTTCTCTGAAGAGGAAAGAAGGATGGCCAATAGACACATGAAGAAATGCTCAACCTCCTTAGCCATAAAAGAAATGCAAATCAATAATAACAATAGATGCTGGAGGGGATGTGGACAGAAGGGAACCCTACTGCATTGTTGGTGGGAGTGTAAACTTGTTCAACCACTTTGGAAAGTAGTATGGAGGTTCCTCAAAAGACTCCACATAGAGCTCCCCTATGAACCAGCAATCCCACTTTTGGGTGTTTACCCAAATGATCACAAACAAGACCACACTAAAACTACCAGCACGACTATGTTTATTGCAGCACTATTTACTATAGCTAAGATATGGAACCAACCCAGATGCCCCTCAGTAGATGAATAGATCAAGAAAATGTGGTATATATACACAATGGAATTCTATGCCTCCATCAGAAAGAATGACATTGCCCCATTTGTTAGGAAATGGAAAGACTTGGAAAAAATTATATTAAGTGAGTAAGCCAGGCCCAAAGAAACATAGGTCCCACATATATCTAGTATATGTCTGAGTCAAGCAGAAAAGGTCAGATAAGGTGATGTTAGGGAAATTAACCCTAAGATATGTATTCAAATGTTTTTTTTTCCTTCATGCAATTGTTTCTAACACATTTATAAGATGATTTCTTTGTTGCTTTGTATGTCCCTCCCCCACAGTATAACCCCTGCTTTCACTGTATTTGATGTCGATATAATTTGTGGAGGGGAAGGGGAAAAACAAATCATTTAAATAAGGATACAGGTGGACCCATTGCAACAATGAGATGTACAAGTTGTTATGTCGAAAATGAACTTTACAACTTTGGTGGGGGGGGGGGGGGAGGAGGAGCATGGAAAGGGATGGGAAGGGGAAACATAGGAGGAGGCTACAATGCTTGATAAGAAATGTACTCATTATCTTGCCCATGTAATTGTAACCCCTCTGTACAGTATTTTCACACACACAAAAAGACCAATTACTCACAAGTGAGGATCAAAACACAAAAGAAAAGCACAATACTCATTAACTATGATAATAAAGCATTAACTATCTCTATTGAAAGTTTACTTGTGGGAACTTTGAACATTTTTACCTGCATTTCCTAATCTAATTTTTTTTTTGCTTGGGACTTGAAATATGGATTTGGCTGCTGACACTGAACTCTTCAGCTCAAGGCAAACATTCTACCACTTGAGCCACAGTGCCACTTCCAGTTTTCTGGTGGTTAACTGGAGATAAGAGTCTTACCAACTTTCCTGCCAGGGCTGGCTTTGAGCTGAGATCCTCAGATCTCAGCCTCCTGAGCAGCTGGGATTACAGGTGTTAGCCACCAGTGCCTGTTTTCTAATCTAAGTTTTACAATGGTCAATAGAGTTAATTGACTATTATCTCTGCTTAAAAATGGAGATATGAGTGTTGGACTTTAAAAATGGAATACAAGGTCTGGATATGCCCTGTAACACTTGAAAGCTACAGGGTGAGCAGGGCTTGATTCATACTTATCAGTTGGATTCCAGGATTCATTGTTTCTAAAAAGTCACTATAGGAAAGTGCACAGCTGTAATACCATAACCATTCTCTAGAGATTATATAATATTGCTAAGTAAAAATAGCTTTATTCATTAAGCAACTCATTTACTCAGCCTAATACATAGGTTCTGACAACAAAATGAACAAAATAGACTCTCCCTCTCTCCCCCCAAAAAACAACGTAAACAAAAAAATGCCTTTATAGTATTTATTGTAAGGTTGGATACTGGAGAAGTAGGTGACAAAAAATAAAAGTAAAGTACATTATAAACTGAAAAATGATGAGGAGATACACCAAAGCAGGAAAATGCTGAAGTCAAAGAGGAAGTCAGGGTTACAACATTTATGATAGTTTAGTAATGGTTTTGGCTTCTAGTCTGACTAAAGTAGAGAACAATGAATGTTTTTAGGAGAGAAAGCTGTAATGTGATTTTCATGTTAACAAAATTACTCTGGCAATTACTCTTGAGAATCAACAGCCAGAGGAAGAAATGCAGTCTGATTTAAGAAATGAAGTTAGTAAAATAAGGCAGGCACACATGCTGTTGGGTGGGATCATCACAGAGTACGGTAAGATTCTTGATACACTGAAGGGAGAACGGGAAGCTTCATTAGGAACAAAAATGCACAGATTAAACAGTAAAAAAAATGTCAGTGATAACACCCAGTGTTTTGTCCATGCAACTGAATAATTGAACTTATATCCAGTACATTCACTAAGATAGAGAAAACCGTAGGAAGAGCTGTAAGTTGCTATTCCTATGTCCACATGTGGTAGAGAGAAGGGGACAATGGTAGGGGATATTACTAGAAGCACCGACTTTAATTGTCATGTAACAGATGATTTAAAAATATTCAGTTGAAATGGTAAGTCCAGTTTGATATATGAAGGTGGGAGGTTGGGTAAAATTATACCTTTTGGGTTGATAAACAGGACTAGGATTAAAACACGTAGGCTGTCCTCAAAAGCATGTATAATCAATCACGGAAAATGAGAGAGTAAGAGAGAGAGAAAATGAAACTGTAGATTGGCACAAGTAGTGGTAGGAAATTTCTTTTGAATTCTTTAATTTGCTTAGTGAAGATGAAGAGATGAAGTGACTTATCAACTTAGAGAACATTTGTAGAGGAAATGTTTTTTTTTTTTTTTTTTTCAGCTGGAAGAAAATAAACTTGGGGACACTGGAAAATACAGAATGGTTGCAAGGTAGAATTCATGATCATGAATTTAAGGAAACTTGTTTCATTATGTGGGTGTATTTTTCTCATCAAGCGTCATTCCATTTATGTTAAAGCAGGTATCATGCCCCCAGAAGAGCTGCTTTCAGTAAGATGTTGGTATACCCCATTGAATATGAAAAGTAGAGAGAAAGATACACTGTAGCTATATGTAAGGACTGTATATTTTTGGCTTATCATGATGTTTTGTGCTGTGAAAGGAAAAAAGGCAATACTTATAGAATGCAGAAGGCTATGACAAAGACAAATAATAAAATACTTTAAGGTCCACTCTTCAATTCATGGATAGTTATAGAAAACTTGGATTCATGGTGCTTCCAAGACAAGGTAGAAAGATGAACAGTGGGGGTGATTATGATAACATGAGATTTCTAATGATAATTCAGATTTGTAAGAGTAAGGTCAAGAGTATATGTACAGGAGGAACTGAGTTAGGATAGAATACAAAATCCTTGGAGAGGAAATACAGTAACTGAGATGCCACAACAGTAGAAAAATTATGTGCATGTCTATTGAGGCCATCTAGTATTAATGTAATATTAAAGTCAACAGCATTGAACCAGGAGATAAAATAGTGAAGGCATAGATAGTCATGGCCTGAGGGCTAATAGATAATTCTGGTAATGACAGACAGTAGCACTTGCCTGTTTTCCTATCTTCAGGGGAATCACAAAGGCTGGATACAGTCCTAAATGCCTGTCTTGCCCAGGGGTACAGGC